AAACTGGTATCAGACATTCTCAGCACTCTTCACTCAGCCATTGCTACAAACAATTTTACCTTATATTGTGGTTGGTTTAGTTGTTTTTGCTCCTTTGAACTGGGTTGTTTACTTAAACAATGTTAAGAAAATCCCACTATATTGGTTGCTTCCAATGTTTTGGGTTATCTCAGGTGCTATGGCTGCATTGGCATGTGTTGTAGCCAAATGGGTTCTAGTGGGAAAGAAGAAAGCTGGTGAAACAGTACCATTATGGAGCATAAGGATTGTCATGGATAGCACGTGGCAGGCTATTAGAACATTAATTGGAGATTATTTTATGGACATGACAAGTGGGTCATTTTTGTTTGTGATTTGGATGAAGTTGATGGGTTCAGAGATAGAAATGGATCGTGCTGCTTATGTAGATAGCATGGGAGCTTTGTTAAACCCTGAAATGGTGAAGATTGAAAGTGGGGGTTGTGTGGGAAAAGAAGCATTGTTATTTGGACATATATATGAAGGTGAAGATGGAATGGTTAAGTTTGGAGAAATCACAGTTGGTGAAGGTGGGTTTGTTGGGAGTAGAGCTGTGGTTATGCCTGGTGTGCAAGTTGAGAATGAAGGCAACCTTAGTGCCTTGTCTCTCGCCATGAAAGGAGAAATCATTAGGTCAAGATAAAAATATCATATGATACTTATAGCTTGTCACACTTGTTTTGTTTTGATAATACTATATAGGTTATAAAATCGTTAAATAAGTTGGACGATGATATTAATTATATTCAATAATGTACGTCACCAACAAACATTAGTTGATATGGTTAGGAGTATGTTATGCTTAAGTATAGAGGCAATAATAATAATAATAATAATAATGTATGTTGTACTTTTATGGATTAAAATTTTCATAATTATCTTTCAATTAGTTTCAATAAGAAAAAGTACCTGGAAATTGTGTAACCCAAAAAAAAATAATAAGTATATTCTTCATAAAAGTTATTAAATATATATCCACTTCTAAGCACTAACCAAATTTGATATTTAAATTTACTAAAAAAAAAAATTTGATATTTAAGGTTGTTTATTTGGGTCTCTCTTCCCTCTAAGAAGGTGAGAAAAAAGTGTGGATTCAGAAAACTTTGGGCCCTACATGTGCAAATAGAGATGCTTCCATGAAGCTACTGAATTCCATAACTAGCCACATTCTAAAATTAATTAATTGGTAAAGCGACTATTAAGGTGGCGTTTGGTTTGGTTGAGGGAAAATTTTTATGAATAATAAAGAAATAAGATTAGTGAGAAAATGGTTGAAAAGTGGGTTTGATAGAAAAATGTAAAAAAAATTGTTTGGTAGGAAAAAAATTTATCGGAAAAATTAAGTAACTTTTGTAAAGTCTATGTTTGAATTTTGGTAAAATATAGATGGGAAAAAAATGTGTTACGACAAAAATACCCTTATTTTTTTTATTTTTTTTGAATTACAAGGAAATAAAGCAAAAGCAACAAACAGAGACCCATCTGGGGGTACAAGCACCCCTAAGGTCGTTCAAAAAAAGCGGAAGGCAATCAGGGGGAGGGTCATCATACAAGATGGTATCCCAGCTAAATTGAAGAGCGTCACCCGCACCGTCACCTTCTTCTGCCTCTTCCTCACGGTGGTCGTCCTCCGCGGCACAAATATTGGCGCCGGCAAGTTCGGAACCCCCGAGCAAGACTTGAAGGAGATCCGCGACCACCTCCACTATGGTGGTCGCTGGGTGGAGCCTCGCCGCGTTCTGGAAGAAGTTCAAACGGAATCCAACAACTACGCCACCTTCGACATGTCGAAGATCCTAGTGGACCAGGATGTCGGCGATGATGAGAAGCGTGCTCCAAGCACTGTCGAGGGTATAATGGCTGTGCAAAAAATGTGTGAAAGTGTTTTACCGAGTTTTCAAAAAAAACCACCCTCAAAAGAGCTTTCTAAACAGTGCCGATACCAATCTTTCGAAGGCAAAGTTGAAAAAGCCATGCAAATAGGATGGATGGACATTTTGTCATAATCTGTTGAAGCAAATGTTGACTTTCTAAGAACCTTACTTCATTTGCATAAAAAAATGTTGAAAAGAATGGAACCAAACACTACCTAAAAGGAATTAAAACAATTTTTCCAGTTGAAACAAAAATGCATGCGAATTCCGTACATGTAATAACATACATTAAAAATGAAAAAGGCTGGTGTGGAAACCAATGGAGCAGGTAAAAAAAATTTATATCTTGTTACATGATACTTATTTCCCCCTAATTTTATAATGCTATAATATAAAAGTTTATCCTGATTCATGAAGCTATTGATGCACATGCAATTTTGTGTCACTGATTGGACGAAATGGAGAGCCCTGCAAGTTGCTTTGGGGTTAATCTATTTTATCTATTCCTTTAAAAAGCACGGGGTTAAGCAAAACATTTTTCCAAATAAATAAATTGGTTTGTGGATAACCTCAATTATGGAGGTCCAACAAATCTACAACAATAGAATAAAGCCTCGTTGATTTCCTTAATCACTCAAAAATAAGAAAAATAACATATAAGTTATTTGTATTTATTTTTTAATTTTTTCATCTCAAAACGATATCGTTTTAAAAATAAATACAGATAACTTATATGTAGTAACTGCAACAATATTTTTTTTTTGAAATTTAAAATGCAAAACATTATTTTTTCATAGTAATTAAAAAAAAATTAAAGATAATATCAAAGTAATCAAACAATGTGGTCACAATAAATTAAACTGTTACTCTCCTAACTAGCTTTACGTTCAATGTTAGGTATTTGAATCTAAGATTTGTTATAAAAAAACAAAAAGAGTAAAATAAAATATTGTGGGTTTTTCGATAAGATATCAAAGGAGTGTTTATAGTTAAAAATAAGTAAAACTTAATTAAATACAAGTTTCTCGTTAAACCAAATTCAAGTTAGACACAAATTTTTTGTAATTAATTTCAATTGAATCAAGATTAAGTAACATCTTCTCAACAATCATCTTTTAGTAAATATTTATAAAAAAAAAATTCAATATAATAAAATTTAAGTTAAAAAAATTACTATGTATCTTTGCGCTATTACGTCTAACTACATGATTATTAATTGTATACCTTTTACCTTGATTAATTGATAACATTTGGATTTTGTTCCATCTAAATATATTATTTTCTTCTTCTTTTTACTAAAGTTTTACTTCTTCTTTTTTACGAGTGCTAGATTTTTCTTTACTTTCTTACCTATATCTATTGAACTAAATATAATATAGACCACAAAATATTAATATGAGTTTCATTTTTAGGTACAAAATCATTAATTTTGGAATTATTTCACCAATCTGTTTAGGGGAAGAATGAAAATTTAAACTAATTAAATAATTAATGTCCATCTGCAGAATAAATAAATAAAGGATTTTATTAATCTCTTTTTACATGAGATAGGTATCTTATGTTATAGAGAGAAACTAAGTGAGTCCCACCATTACAAAAAAAAAAAAAAAATGAGGTGCGAAAATCGAAGTGAGAGAAAATGAGATAAGTTACCTTATGTAAAAGGAGAGTAATATTTTCCATAAAGAAAACGTTTATGATGATTCCTATATCACTGTACCAGAAATAAATGTACTTTCTTTAGGGAAAGGTGTGTTTTACTTTTACTATCATTTTAGAAAAATCCATATATTATTTTAAATGACATAAAGTTGTGTCATTTTAAGTGAGAAAAAAAGATAAATCATGAGAAATAGTAGAAAAAAAAGTTTTAAAAATATGGATCCAATCTCTTTGTGAAAGTGAAAGAATGCAAAAAGTGTTATTTAAAATGACACACTTTTTATTCATTTTATATATAAAAAGGGTTCGCTTTTTCTGCATTATCTGCAGTAAGCCCAATACGACGTCGTTTTGGGCAGAAATCATGGTGCTTTTGTAATTTTAATTTATTTTAGGGTTATAATAGTCTTTATATTTATAATTTTTTAAGATTTCAATACCAAAAAAACGTCGTTTTGGAAATGAATGTAGATAACTTATCTGTATTAACTGCAGAAATATTTTTCCTATATAAAAAAGCAAAATAATTAAAGAAAAATGTGTCATTTTGCATGACACACTTTATATTCTTTTACTCTCACAAAAATATGGGACCTACATATTTAAAACTTTTTTCCCTCATTCTTTTTCATAATTTATCTCTTTTTATGTAATAGACACTTTTTCCAATAATTAATTTGATACATAGAATAGAGACCAAAAAGGAATAAGTTTGACTCATTGAAGGGTAAGGTGCAGAATACATAAAGGGTAAAGTGTGTGTCACTTTAAAAGATGTAAAGTTATGTTATTTTAAAAGATGTAAAGTTATAGATAAAGGAGAAGAGAGAGTTGACAAAAAAAATAAAAATATGGGTCTCATACCTTTATTTATTAGAGTGAATGAATGTAAGTTGTGTCATAAAATACTGAATCTCGCCATTTAATGGAACATTTTGAGCTAAACTCGTCTTCTCTCTCCTCTCTTTCTCTCTCCTCACCAAAATCTGAGGCACAGGTAGCATTGAATTTCGGGCCATTTGGGTCGAAAAAGCAAAACCCTCTTTGGGTTCTTATGGTTTTTTTCATGAATTCGCTATCGGCGTCTTCAATCTTCATCATCAATAATAAAAATTCAGGGTACCCAAAACGAATCTAATTCAAAAGCTCAATTTTTTGTGCTCTCAATTTGCAAACATCGCCTTCGCCTATTCTATCCCTCCAATCCTCATAGATGGGCGAATTCGAAGAAATTGGGCCTGACGTTTGGTATGTCTACCAACTTTTATTATTCCCAGAACTTCAATTTAGTTGCATGTATTTTATGTACTATGTTTCTTGATTTTGTTTTATTTGTCTTTTCAGATTTTTTGTTTTTGTGCGTTTCTCTCGATGAATGCTATATTTTCGGATGATAATAGCTTTGCTTCCTGAATTTCTATTGGCTTTCATCAATCTTGCCTTAGTTGGATTACGTTTATGGGTTGTTGATATTCATCCATCCTATAGAAATTCCTAACAGTTAAGTTTTCAAATTGATATACGATGTTAACTGCTGGACAATGATTTTACTGAGGAGTCGATCTTTTGCGAAGCTTGTGTGAGATCTTTGGGGACTTTAATTTTGTTAAAATGGAAAAACGTCTGTCATTTCTGGTTTCCGGGGAATGTTAGGGAAAAGAAATGAGAATGAAATTTTGACTGTTGATTATTAATTAGTTAATCCTGGTATAAATAATAGAAAAGCTTACATTTTAGCTTGCTTTATGTGTTCCAATGATCATTTGGGATATGCAAGTTCTGTTGTTATTTAATTGAATGGAGCGTCTTCTGATAAATAGTGACATGTTGAACTACAGTTCGGATATTGAAGGTTATGATATTAGATGTGACAATATAGCGGAGAAAGATGTCAGTGATGAAGACATTGAAGCAGAAGAATTGGAGAGGCGGATGTGGAAGGATCGTATCAAACTCAAAAGGCTCAAGGAAAAACAGAAGCTTGCAGCTCAGCAAGCTGCCGAGAAGCAAAAGTCCAGGCAGTCCACTGATCAAGCTCGCAGGAAGAAAATGTCCAGAGCACAAGATGGGATTCTTAAGTATATGCTGAAGCTTATGGAAGTCTGCAAAGCTCGTGGATTTGTGTATGGAATCATTCCTGAGAAGGGCAAGCCAGTTAGTGGTTCTTCCGATAACATTAGAGCTTGGTGGAAAGAGAAGGTAAAGTTTGATAAGAATGGCCCCGCAGCCATAGCCAAGTATGAAGCAGAGTGTCTTGCTATGAGTGAGGCCGATAATAACCAGAATGGGAACTCTCAGAGCATTCTCCAAGACCTGCAAGATGCAACGCTAGGGTCACTCTTATCTTCATTGATGCAACATTGTGATCCTCCTCAGAGGAAGTATCCATTGGAAAAAGGTATTCCCCCACCTTGGTGGCCAACTGGGAATGAAGATTGGTGGGTTCATTTGAATTTACCTCATGGTCAGAGTCCTCCTTATAAGAAGCCACATGATTTGAAGAAGATGTGGAAAGTGGGAGTGCTAACTGCTGTAATAAAGCACATGTCACCTAATATTGCAAAAATAAGGAGGCATGTTCGGCAGTCAAAATGCTTGCAAGACAAGATGACAGCAAAGGAAAGTGCAATTTGGTTGGGGGTATTAAGTCGAGAAGAAGCTCTTATCAGACAGCCTAGTAGTGACAATGGTAATTCTGGAGTAACCGAAATGCCACCTGGTGTTCCTGTTGAGAATAAGCAAGCTGCCGCTAGTAGTGCTAGCAACTATGATGTTGATGTTGCCGATGATGGTGTTGGTTCTGTTTCTTCTAAAGAAGATAGGAGAAATCAGTTTATGGATATCGAATCATCAGATAACTTGCGAAGGAATTCTGTCCAAGATAAAGATCAACCTAAGAAACCAAGGAAAAAAAGACCTCGTTTGAGGTCAGGCACCACTGACAAACTACCAGCTCAATCTGACAATGAAATTTTACATGTTGAACCAGTAACCATTCTGCCTAATATGAACGAGACAGATGCACAGGTAGTTGGACTCCAGATTCATGAAAATGAGCAAGGCATCGATACAAATTCTGCTTTGAGACCTCTGCAAAAAGGACTTGAGATGCCAGCTCAACTACCAGTACCTGAGTTTGATCATTACTCTTATCTTCATTCGAACAACATAATTTCCTCTGAAAGCTTGTATATGAGTGGAAGGCCATTGCCCTATCCTGAGTTGCAAAACCCTGACATGCATCACGAAACTACTTATAATCTTTATAATCCGGCAGCAGGATATGGGCCTAGTCAGGATGGGCTGCAGCTACAGTCTGGGAATAGTGGACCAATTCGGCCAGAGAAAGATGAAGTCTCTATGCCAGCAGTACATATGAAAGGGGATGAAATTACTGGAGGAGACTTGCAATTTTTCGGTAAAGACGCATTTCAAAATGAACTTGATAGACCTATAGATCACTCTTTCTTTGGATCGCCAATCAGTGGCATGTCATTAGATTTTGGAGGACTCAACAGTCCACAATTCCATTTAGATGATTTCTTGGGTGATGATGAAATGATCCAGTACTTTGGAGCATAGATTATTGGAACCAGTGTCTCAGCAGAGATTGTAAGTGCTATTCTTTCTCTTGAATTATGCTCTAGATTATCCTACGTATAATGACTTCTTTATTGTGTTTGTTTCTATCCTTTTCCAGGAACTACAAAAATTCCAGCACTTGTTGCTAAGATGGGTGAAGGTTCCCAAGATTGGTGGTAGTGTTTATGCAGTTTGATGTTGAAAGATATAATCTTAACACTGACAAGTCATTAATTTACAGAAGTGGAAGAACGGAAGCATGAATGTTGTTCCATTGATTACCCCATTTTCAAATCAATAAATATGTTTGGGTTTCATGTAAATGTGTCAATTGCTGAACTGGCTAAATCATATTGAATGTTTAGGTAAATTTCTGTGGAATAGGGTTGCCTCTATATTTAATAAAATTATCATTGGCTTCGTGCTGTCTCCTTTGCTGTGTGTGACTGTGCTGGTTCCCGAGACTGGTTTATGCATTCCCCTTATCTGGCTATATTCTTTTAGCAATCTATCTAGATACTGAAAGGTTAACTATGATTAATGCCATTACCCTGCTGCTTCAAGTCTTAAAATTGAAAATTGAGTTTCTTGTATTGATGGAGTCCATATGCAACCTGGTTTTCTGCTTACACTGCTTCAACGAGAATATTTAGTTCCCGCAGTTGATGACTTTAGTGAATAAGGGAAATGAATTGTTAAGAAAAAATCGTCAAAAGATGCAAGCAATAACAGTTTCTATGTTCCGCTAATAACATATGTTGGTTTTTAGACAATTTGTGCACTAGTCCATATTAGGAATTTAAAATATGGCGTGCAAAATAATATTTTTAAATGAAAAGATCATAAATAAATGTCACTTAGGTGTAGTACTCAACCACGAATTATAGAATCAATGAATGCGCTGAACATGTAATCCATTGTTATGCTGTCGTATTTTATTCTATGCGTATTATTTATTGTCTCTTATCTTATAAGAGATAATTTTATCTTTTACATACAAATAAAATTGTGAGATTTTTTTTTTTTCTCTCTCTCTTTTTCACTTGGCACTACGCATTTTTATGTGTATGTAGAAAATAACTTTATCTCGAACAATATAAGAAGAATCAAACCCTGTAATTTTTTTGTATGACGTTGATGAATTAGGATTCTTCCAACGTTTTATATTTTCTAGATTCTTTGATTTCTTTCCTTCCCTCCCCGTACCTCCCCCTCCCTCCCAAACCACACACACACACAGAAGAAAAAAAAATATTTAGACAATTGAAAAGTTGCTGTGCGATGCAAAAATGCTGCAATGGAAGCCATTCTGAGGGAGGACAATAATATTCATGTAAGATGAATTTAAATTCTTGTAATTAGGCCTTTGGAGGCCTGGTTCAGAGTTTAACAGGGATATTCTTGAGCTTTCCTGCTTCCCTTCGAACGCACTAACACAATATTTTGGTATTTTCCCCTACCTCATGAGTGGAAGACTCCCTAAGTTCCTATCTAAATTATTTAGCGAATGAAAAAGAAAGAACAAAATTTTAAAGGCAAAAAATCGTAAAAATTATTTGAACAACCGTATGTTTTTTATTTATTACCCATATAACATTTACTCAAACATCACTGTTTATTTTTATTTATAGGTATTATAAATTTTTATCACTTTACTTATTTATTTATTTTCCTCAAATTAGATATCAATAGGTCCCTATTTGATCAAACAAGCCCTTGATAAATTATTTATTTGAATAAATGGCTCACTCACTCTAATAGGCTTACGGGTGTAAATGGGTCAGACAGTCTATCAGAGCTTATGGCTCAATCTATATTTGGTCAGGTTTGACCTAATATATATAGGGAGTTATACTTCTCATTCAACTGCAAAAAAAAACTCAATCTATATTTGGTCAGGTTTGACCTAATATATATAGGGAGTTATACTTCTCATTCAACTGCAAAAAAAAAACTCATTCCCGCTAACCCATCGATCTTTGCGCTTTTTTTTTCTTTTCTTTTTTCTTTTTTTTAATATATGGGACCCACTCAAACTGAGTCTGCTGGAGAATTATAAACTTTTGCGGTTAAAAAGGAGAATTATAAATCACATATATATAATAAAATAGAACATGCTTAAGCCTTTTAAAAAGCCTATGTAAAAAATAAGTCATAAACTTTCTTTTATTAAACCTAGCCTATAAGCCTACAAGTTGGTCAATATTATAGTATTTATTTTAATAAATAAATAAAATTATTATTTAAATAATAAAATAATATTATTTTAATTACTTTTTTTAACTCTTGAATTTAGGCTAATAGATCTAGGTCAGACATTTTTAAAAAAAAATATAAGTCAAGCTAGACTTATAATTTGACCTAAACTAGGTTAATAGACCAGGTCATACATAGATCTGTTCTTAAGGCAGAGTCTGGCTTAGCCTAGCTCATTTATACTCCTAAATAGACTCCAATTTTTTTATTTTATTTTTTGTGGACACTTCAAATTTTAAATTCAAATTGAAAATTTCAAAATCTATTTTGCTAAATAAATTTGTAATGTTTTGTATTTACGATTAAATAGACACTTGTAACTAAGATTAAGATTAAATAGTCATTTTCAACTAAAATAAAATTGTATTGAAATTCAAATTGCCACTTGTAACTAGAATTAAATAAACATTTGTAAATAAGATACAATTGTATTCAAATTTAAATGTCATTTGTAACTAGGATTAAATAGTGATTTGCAACTAGAATTAAATAGCCATTTGCATGTATAAAAAAATAGTCAATTGTAACTAAGATAAGATAATCTTGTATCATTGTCTATAGACTCTATACGTAGTCATCTTTCCCCAATTGAAGAAAAATACCAAATATCGATCAAACTTTGGTCAAATAGGAGTAAATCAATATATAATTTAAAAAATAATAATAAATTAATATATAATTTAAAAGAGAGACGAAATAATAAAAAGAAAAATTAAAACAAACAAAATGATTGATCTACTACATTTTTGCATGATTAATAAATTTTCTTTCAAAAATGCATATGTTTGATCATACATAAGGCTTGATTTTAGCTCACGATTTTTATTTTATTTTTAATTATGCTCCATCCCTATTTTCAAAAATATAATTAGACAAGAATCGAGGAAAGCTATATTGAAAATAGCTTGGAATGTATCTCAACATGTGCTACACATTAAAAGAGAGAAAAAAGAAATATGACTAGATGTTCCTTTTTTTTTTTTTTTTTTTTTTGATAAACTGGAGGGCCAAGCCCAGAGACAAACTAAACATTCATCTTACACAAGTTCAAACATAAATGCTCCACCATCAAATTGGAGCTAAACTCTAACCAAGAAGGAAAGATATTAACAGGGGGGAGGGATAAAACCTCAACTCCTCACCCTTGAGCTTAAAACCTAATTTAGCTAACTCATCAGCACAAACATTAAGGTCTCTTGGAACAAAATCCAATTGTAGCTGGTCCACATCCTGGCCAGCTTTTCTGATCCTGCAGATTAAGGCATAGAACCCATAGTTCTCAGTTTCTTCTTCAAGACAAAGGATAGCTTCTTTGCTATCACACCCCAACCAAGCCTTGTTGAAACTCAAGTCACCTGCCAACTTTAGACCATGATAAATGCCCCATAATTCAGCTTCCAAAACCGTGCACCTTCCTATGTTATAAGAGAAACCACCTAACCAATCACCACTAGCAGAACAAATAAACCCTCCACAGGCTCCCACCCCAATATGCAGACTACAAGCACCATCAACATAAATTCGAATTGGAAAACCATCACTAGAATTCCTATTTGAAGCAGAAGCAATGTCCCCATCTACTTCTGACCAAAAGGGCCCAGCAATATTACATCTCTTCATATCAGCCAGGAACAACAGAATTGCATGGATAGGATCATAAGGGATAACAAATGACTCCTCATGAATAGAAAGATTCCTCCATTTCCAAAGAAACCAACAGGTCACAAAAAAGACCTCTTTCCAAGAGTTCCAAAGTTTACTAACATAAGGCTGAAACAGGTTAAGTCTAAACCACTCTAATCCTTCAGCAGAAAAAAATTCAGAAGGAATACTACCTGAGAACCACCTCTCCCATACCAGCCTTGCCACCTTGCAGTCCCTCAAAGTATGCAGAACAGTTTCTTGACCAGCAGAGCAGTTTGGGCAAGCTAAGTTCCCTCCATACCACTGCCCAGTCATCATCCGAACTGGAAGCTTATCCAAACAAGCAAGCCACAAAAAAACAGCAATCCTGTAGGGTCCCCTCCACTTCCAAATAGCAGACCATACCTTATCCTTTCCTGCATTTGCATCAAATAAAGAACAGTAAGCATTCCTTACAAAGGATTTACCTGGCCTACTCCTTATCCATCGCATGTTGTCTACTGGCCTATCCTTTGATGGAGGCTTAATGACTTTCAGTCTTGAAATAGCAAGGTCATCGAGCCAAATACTGAGACAAGCCCAGTTCCAATCCCCAGTAATAGGGTCTACAAATTCACAAATTTTAGAGCCAAGAATGGAATCAGGAGGTTTAATAGCAGCTTGGTCATATAAGCTGCTCTTCCAATCACCCCACACATCAGTCCAGAAGCAAATATCTTCACCATTACCAACCTCCCACTCAAGATGTTGGATCAACTTATCTCTAGCTGTGCAAATGTACTTCCACAACATAGAATCAGCAGCTTTTGAAGTTAAACCACGATTTGGGTTAAGATTCCTACCATATTTCCCTAACATAACCTGAACCCAAAGGCTATTTTGTTCATGCATGACCTTCCAGGCTAGCTTCTGCATAAAAGCCTCATTTTGTCTTCTTAGATTAATGATGCCTAGGCCACCACACTCCCTAGGCAAACACAATTGATCCCAAGACACATAATGAGCCCTTCTTTTAGTATCTGAATCCCCCCAAATGAAATTTCTCTGTAATCTCTCAACCTCTTGACATACATGCACTGGCAGCATGTTATTCTGCATATGGTAAGATGGAATGGCCGAAATAACACTCTTAGCTAGAGTGATCCTACCAGCCATAGAAAGGCACTTTGATTTCCACCCTTGAAGCCTTCCTTGCACTCTAGAAATAACATATGCATAGTGATCCCTCTTGATTCTTCCATGTCTCAATAAAGACCCCAGATAGCAGCCCAGATTACACACTTTTTTAAACCCACTAGCCGCAGTAATAACATTCACTGTTTCTGGAGGCACATTCTTGGAGAAATAGATGCAGGATTTCTCCACACTCACACTTTGCCCAGACATCTTGGAAAAAAGCTTCAAACAACGATTGATAGACTCCAATTGAGAAGAAGAAGCCTCAGCAAACAGCACAACATCATCTGCAAACATTAAATGTGAGATAGGAGGACCTGACTTGCCAGCCCTTATTGGGAT